TGCGGTTTGGAAGGAAAGGGAAGTTGAGCCCTAGGTTTATAGGCTCGTATGAAATCCTGGAGAGGGTTGGAAGTTTGGCTTACCATTTGGCGTTGCCTATGGAGTTAGAAAGGGTGTATAACGTGTTCCACGTATCGCAGCTCAAGGGTTATGTTCACGACCCGGCTCATGTTTTACCACCGGAAGTAATACTTATAGATGAAGATTTGTCTTACGAAGAAAGGCCGCTCAGAATTTTGGACTTCAAGACTCGGGACACACGTAGGAAATTCGTTAAGATGGTGAAGGTTTGGTGGACACATCATGGGGTTGAGGAAGCTACTTGGGAGCTGGAGTCATCTATGCGGGAGCTGTACCCAGAGTTGTTTGTAGAAGGTACCTCGTTTTCCTCGTGGGTGTTTGCTTTGCGTGTTTGTCTTTGTGTGATGCTTGTGGTTTAGTTAGTTTGGTATCAGTAAGTGGGTGTTTTGTGTTAGTTGTCTTGTTCTTAGTGTTGGGTAGAAGTTGATGAAAGTGTTAAGAATAGAGTTTGTGATGCTCAATCTTCTCCTTTGACATGTTCTTGACAATTCTTGAATTGCTATGCCTTTCTTCTTGTTTGAAATCCTTGTGGAACCTTTTGAGTTTTGACCAAAAGGATTCGTTTTTGAACCTCTTGTCACAATGTTGTTTCCTATCACCGTTTGTTTCTAATTCGTCGTACCCAAGCTTCGGGGACGAAGCTTCTTTGAAGGGGGAGAGGATGTGACACCCCAAAAATCCACATTCAATCCATGGATTAATTGAGTAATTAATCCTATTTTATTTGAGGAATTGATTCCTAAAATCCTGATTTTTAATACTCAAGGACTAGTATTTGACTAGTCAACCTTAAAGTTGTGTTGTACCTTGAGCTTTGAGGGGAGTTCCCTTGTTCCTTACACTTTCTAAAGGTTAGTAAGGGTATTCTTTACTTTTCACCAAGAGTTAGTATTGTAACCTAACCTAGAAGACTTCTTCATTTCATTCCTTACAATTCCTAGAAATTAGCTCTACCTTCTCTCTAGAAAAGAAGTGTAGCTTATTCTCCAAGCCAAGTTGAGACCCTTGTCAAGATTCCAAGATTTGCTCCCAAGATTCAACCTTTCACTTATTTGGGCATCTAGGAGGGTAAGATCTAAGTCCATCTTGTGTTTTTGGTTCCATCTTAGTTGTCTTTTTCTTAAAAGTAGGATCTTTATGATCTTTTGGTTTGATCTTGAAGTGGGTTTAGATAGTAAGCCTTGTAAGGAGCTTGTTGAGGTGTAAAGTGAAGTCTTTTGGTCTACAAGAGGTAACCATGCTCTACTAAAACCTATTTTGCTTACCTATATGTGATTTCTTGGATTCTACTTTGTGCTTTGCTATGAAATGTGAGGGTTTATGCATTTGTCTTGTGATATTGCATATCTAGAGCTTGTGTTTAGGGTTCCTTTGTGCCATTGCTTGGCATTTTCCATGATTCAAGTCATTTTGTTGTGTTGGGTGAGATTTGGCATGTTTTGGACTTGAATTTGTGTTTGGAGAAGAAAATCCCCGAAGGGATTATTTTACACAAGAGTATGTACCCGCGGGCGGAAAGGCGGGGAGAGCCCTACCCGCCGCCCACCCGCAGGTACATTGGCTTGTGGGTAGTGTACCCGCGGGCAGAACCACGGGTAGGGGCCTACCCATGGGTCCACCCGCGGGGAACACAGTGGAGTTTGAACGGGATTTGTTCCCCGTGATTCGTTTGACTCGGTATTTGGTCTTTTGACTTCCCGATGTTCTTTGGTGGAACTATTTGAGCGTCTTCTTGATGTTTCGTATGTCTAAAACTATATGGTAGGTATCCATGTAAGATTTTGGTGTCCTGAATCGTGCTAAGTGTTCAACATGGTGTTTCGTTGGACCGAGAGGTGTCTTGTGTGTTCCTCGGAACTATCTTGAGTTTCTCCGTTGTTAAGCATGCTAGTTTATTGTCTTAATGCTAGCGTGTGTGTGGTTTGTACCTTCCGTTTGGTTGATGATAACTTGTGTTATTCATCGTTGATGTTGTTGGGCTGTGACTCGTTCCTTGATTGAGTTTGTTTCATACCTTCGTTGTGATCCGTTGTTTGACTCTTGTTGAGTTGTGGTGCGTGTGTGGCTTTAACTGGATTGGACGATTAGTGGTATGGGACACTAGTCACCAAGGTATTGCAGCGGTCCTCATGGTGGCCGTGGCGTGATTATGGAGCTGTGGCCTTTGTGTAAGGTTCACGTTTTTGGGGGATAACAGGTGTTATCCGGGCATGTGTGCCATGTGCGTGTACGGTACCTCGTGTACTATGAATTGGTGGTTTTGTTGGTGGGGGACGACGGTCCCAGGAGGGAAAAGGTTGGACTAAGAAGTACAGGGGGTCCTGGAGGTAATGGTGGAAAGAAGATACAAGGTTGGGGGTAGCCATAAGGTTGGAACAGGGCATAAGGAAGGCATATCAACTCGTGGCGGGTGATGTCACGAGGGCTTGTGTAGCTGTGGTTGTGTGTTCTCTTTCTTGTGACGTCTGTAGTCACAAGGGCATGTGTTGCCATCGGTCTTGTCTTTATCCTTTGCGTTGTGATTATCCTTTGTGGTTTTGGGATGTGTTATCGTATCTTTGTTGCTGAGTGTTGAGTCTTGAGTTGGTGTTTACTCTTGGTTTTACACTTATATATATGTATTCCGTTTTGAAATGATTTTTGTATATACCCTACCTATGTATGATACTTAACATGTATTGGTGGGTTACCAGCATTTATCGCTGATCGGGTGTCGTCCCAATGTTTATATTTGTATCTTTCAGGTGATGTCTAGACGAGCGCGATGTTAGTGGCCGGTAGTCTAGTATCTTTACCTTTGTTTTGTGGCCTGTGTGCCGTTATAGTGTTAGACTGTTACCTTTTGGGATAGATGTATACACTTGCAGATTGATCGCCGTAGCGTTTACCGTGTTTGGTAGACATGGCATAACACCCCGTTTGGATTTCTTCTATCCAGTTCTCGTTTTTATCTTCCGCTGTGCTAGTTTTGTTGTATGATCTGCATGTGTTAAGGCTTTTTATATAGCATGTTTGGGGGGTGTTACAACTTACCCACTGGATAATAGGTTTGAAATTTCATCTCCCTCCAACGGATGAAATTTCCTACACCTATAAATACCCACCTTCATCAACTTAGAAGGTGCTGGTTCTTTTCACTCGATCAATACTCTCAAGCAAAAGCTCTTGTATAAGCTCACTTTATTACCAAGCTTTTGTGAACCAGTTTTCAAGGCGTGAAGATTTCTTAAAGAAGTTCATCAATCTTCATCTTCCACCTTGAAGAACTCTTGCATTTTGTACGAAGCAATCATCCATCATTCAGTCAAGACTTCACCGTGTTGGAGAAATCAGAAATTACTTGCTACCAACCTCAACTCTGAAGAAGACATTGATAGAGGCGGAGTAAACTCGAGGAGTTGAAAAACCTACAGGAAGCTGTCCGGCTCAGTGATCAAGGAAGCTTTCGTGTGTATTTGTACTAACGAGTGATAGTGCAAACCTTCCATAAGTTGTGGAAGAAGAGTGGAGTAGGCAAAGTTGGCCGAACCACTATAAAAACTCTCGTCTCTCTATTTTTTTACTTTCGTGCTTTACTTTCCAGCATTGCATTATCACTCGTCCAAACCGAAAGTTGTCTTAAAACTTCAAACTGTGCAAAGCAACTAAAACCAACTTAACTTATCCGCTGCGCTACAACCCCAAGAGGTTGCTATTTGCCAGAAATCGAGAAGAGTCTATTCACCCCCCCCCCTCTAGGCTCTCGTTCTAACTCTACCGGGACCAACATAGATGCTTTTTCAAAATGGATTTTTGATGTAGGTGATGGCGAGATAGGTGCGACTAATGATGGTTTTGCAAATATAGAAATCCCAAAAGATAATTTATTACGGCCGAAGATGATCCAATTGCAACAATAGTTAATAGTATATTCCATATGTTTTCTTATGGTACTTGTGATTTGGAATATTTAAACGGTCGTGCTATTTTAACATCAACATTTGATGTACTTGATGAGATCATTGAGTATATGAGTAGCTTGAATTCAACTGAGGGTAGGACGTATTTCAGCTCTAATTCGTTTTGTCGATCGGATTCTGGTTCATACATGGGCCGAATTGCATACCCCATAGGCCCAGAGTTCTGAATGGGTTAAAATGCTCAAGGATTCCAAATCGTTCTCTTGCTTTAAAACTGGGGTCTCCAATCATGCTTTTATCGAACATTCATCATTCACTAGGTTTGTGTAATGGCACGAGATTGGTTATTAGTAAATTAGGGGATCATGTTATTGAAGAAAAAATTATGTCAGGAAATAATTTGGGCACTCGAGTTTTGATCCCGAGATTGACATTGACTCCATTAGATCCTCGGTTATCTTAAGTTCCAAAGGAGATAATTCCCTCTAATGCTATCTTATGCAATGACAATAAATAAGAGTCAAGGTTAAAGTCTTTTGAATCTTGGATTACTTTTGAAGAAACCAGTTTTCGTACATGGACAATTAGATGTGGGTCTATCTAGAGTTGTCAACCCTAAGGGTCTTAAATTGTTATTTTAGGCCAAACTGACGAGTACTTTTCTTCAACGACAAATGTTATGTACACGGAAGTTTTTAACAATTTGTAAAGTTTAGTGTTAATGTTTAGGCTTTTTGTAAAATTAATATTAACTATATTTATTTTGTAATATATGAATTGCACTATGTTTATGTTAACTTGTGTATTTTTGAATAAATAGTATTATTATAATGTGGCCTGATATTAATCTCGTGCATCGCAATAAATGTTGTGTGTCAGGAAGTTTTTAAAAATTTGTAATTAGATTTGGTCAATTGTAGTTTTTATGTTTATTTATATTTATGATTTCTGTAAAATTATTAATGTATTCAATACAATTTTCTGATTCCTGTTTCGCATTAATTTATTTTTTTTAATATATTAGAGATAAGCTGAAATAGTGTCAGGCGGGATAACATCCCAATACATAGCAGTAGACTGATCAAAAGCTGAAGATGCTAAAGTATGAGCTATTAAATTTCCTGATCTAGGAACGGAACTAATAAAACAGTACTCAAACGAAGTAATAATAGACTTGCAACTATCAATGGCATAGCCAACGTACGAACGAACCGGTCCAGTGGTGGATGATAAATAATGCTTTAGGGTCAGGCAATCCGTGTAGAGATGTACGAATCGTTCTCCACGACCCCTGAGCCATGACAGAACTTCCTTGCATGCATAAGCCTCGACCATTAATGGTGAGAAGTAGTCGGGAAGTGTAGCGTTGAAAGCCGTAACATAGCCTCCATTCTCGTCACGAAGAACCGCTCCAACCGAGGTCCTATGTGTGGTCGGATAGTATGCTGCATCGAAATGGCATACCCGGACTGCAGTTGGCACGACGTAGCTGGGGTGGCCGTGAAGTGGCAACGCTTCGCCAGTCGTGCTGGGCAACTGTGCCGCAGGGCGTTGATTGCCGGCATGGTGAATGAGTCGCCATGCATGGAGAGCATTTGTGGCCGCTGCTATGAGCTTCCTCGTGGTGGGTAGGTAGGCATCCCAAACTGCACCATTCCTGGCCTTCCAGATATAATATAGAATTGCTGCTGTAAACATAATTCCATTAGTATCTAGAATATTCATCACTTCATCAAACCAAGAATGAAAATTGTTGGTCACAATATTGGGGATTGGAAGGTGGGACTCATGCCATATAGAGCTTGCAAAAACACATGAAACCAATGCATGCATAGTATCCTCATGAGCAACACTACACATAGCACATGTCGGATCAATTCCCACTCTCTTTATATTCAAATTGGTAGTGGTAGGTAGGATATTACTTAAGGCTCTCCATAAAAATTTCTTCCATTTTGGGGAAATTTTTAGATTCCATAATGTTATCCATTTATTAAAAGAGCCCTACGTTGCCACATAATTTCCAACAATTAGTTTGTATCCATCCTTAACAGAGTAACAGCCTTTTGTATCCCCATGCCAATACCAAGCGTCCTCATAGTCTGGTGAGACAAGTATCTTTAAAATGCGATCTACATCAGTAGGTGGAAAAATGTCTGTTAGGATCGAGTGATCCCATTTACCAGTATCTTGATCAATTAACCCTACTACTTTTGCACCAGCAAGCTGAGGGGGCATTTCAGTATGTATCACTGGGTCTTGACTATCCTGGAGCCATGTATGGTTCCATATTAATGTTGTTTTCCCATTCCCAATTCGGCGTCTGACTCCACTACAATTTAAATCCTTAGCTGCCATAATACTCCTCCAGCAAAAGCTAGGATTGTTTCCTAAGCATGCTTCAGAAAAAGTATCTCTAGGATAGTATCTAGCCTTGTATACCCGAGCTACTAATGAATCTGGTTTAGTGAGAAAACGCCATGCCTGTTTACCCAACATGGCTAAATTAAAAGCCCTCAAATCTTTAAAACCCAATCCACCCTGCTTCTTTGGGATACATAATTTATCCCATGCTTTCCAGTGTATACCTCGATCAGTTCCACTACCCCACCAATATCTATTCATGGTTCGTTCAATAGCTGTGCAGACAGAAATAGGCAATAAAAATACACTCATTGAAAAGGTAGGCATAGATTGAGCCACACTTTTCAATAAAACCTCCTTACCAGCCTGTGTTAGCAAATTTTTATTCCAAGACCCAATCCTCTGCCTGATCTTATCCTCAATATATGAAAAGACTGCCTTTTTATTTCTTCCAATAAAAGAGGGGAGTCCCAGATACTTACCAAAATTCGGTGCCTGAACCACCCCCAAGACTTGCGCCACTTCCTCTCTATGAGCCTCACATGTATTTTTGCTATAGCATATACTGGACTTCTGATAATTCACCATCTGCCCAGATAAACTCTCGTACCTTGATAAACAATTCTTTATTTAACCAGCTTCCTGTGTATTAGCTTTGAAAAATAAGAGACTATCGTCAGCAAAAAACAAATGAGTAATAGGGGGGCTCCCCTTGCCACTCTACAACAATGAAAAGAACCCCTGCTTTGTGCCTGCTGTAACAATAACGAGAGACCTTCTGCACAAATTGTGACACCCCGTAAATCCAAGATCTATTTAAGGATTAATTAGATAATTAATCCTAGCTTAATTGATAATTTATTCCTAAAATCCTGAAAATTCAATAGGCGGGGACTAGAAATTGACTAGTCAACCCAAGTCAAGGAATTGTACTCTAAGCTTAAAGAATTGTTCCCTTGTATCCTTATACTTCTCATTTTAGTAAGGGCAAAGAAGACTTTTCACCTTATGATTGTATCCCAAGCTAACCTAGAGTCATCTTTCATTCTTTTCCCTAACACCTTAAAAAGAAAAGCTCCTCCTTCTCTCTAGAAAATAGCTAGCTTCTTCTTCAAGCCAAGTTTGGGCAATTCAAGATTCTTCAAGTTGGTCTCCAAGATTCAACCTTTCTTAATCTTGAGCATATAGGAGGGTAAGATCTTTGGTCCTTTAGTGTTTTTAGTACCTTTTAAGGTGTCTTTTTCTAAAGATAGAATCTTTGTTGTCTTTTGGTGTGTTCTTAAAGTTGGATTTGAAGGAGAGCCTTATTAGAAGCTTGTAAAGGTGTGAAAAGTGAAGGTTTAGGCTACAAGAGGTAACCCATGCTTTACAAAATCTATTTTCTTACCTATATGATGATTTCTTGACTTCTACATGTGATTTTTGCTATGAAATGTGAGTTTTGATGCATTGTCTTGTGAGAATGCATATCTAGAGCTTGTTATTAGGGTTCTTGTATGTCATTGCTTGGCTAATCCTTTTATTCAAGTCATATTGTTGTATTTTGTGAGATTTTGGGTGTTTTGGACTTGAATTTGGACTTCGTGTTGAAAATCCCCGAAGGGATTAATTGTGGTACAGAGGTGTACCCGCGGGCGGAACGACGGGTAGTGCACCACCCGCCACCCCACCCGCGGGGTACAAGTGGGTGGGACAGTGGTACTCGCGGGCGGAACCACGGGTGGAGGTCCACCCGTGGCCCCACCCGCGGGGTACAATGATGTTGGTTGTTGGGGATTTGTTCCCCGTGATTCTTTTTACTCGGTAATTGATATTTTGACTTCCCGATGTTCTTTTGTTGGGCTATTTGAGTTTCTTCTTGATGTTTCATATGTATAGAACGTAATGGTAGGAATCCATGTAGGATTTGGTGTCTTGAATCGTGCTAAGTGTTCAACCTTGTGATTCGTTGAACCATGATGAGTCTTGTATGTTCTTCGGAACTATGTTTGGTTTACCCGTTTGATAAGCATGCTAGTTTGATGTTGAAATGCTAGTGTGTGTGGTTTGTTCTTTCCTATTGTGGATGACAACTTGTGTTGATCATCGTTGGTGTCGGATTGTAATCCTTCCTTGATTGAGTATGGTTTCTTATCTTTTTTGTGATCCATTGATTGATTCCTATGATGATGTGTGTGTTGGTTGTACCTGGATTGCACGATAAATGGTATGGGACATTAATCACTAAGGAACAGATGTGGTCCTCGTGGTGGCCATGATATGATTATGGACTTGTGATGTGGGCTTCAGGTTCATGTGATTGGTGGTTGTGTGATTGATTTGAACGGTATCCTCGTGTACTATGAATAGGTGGATATGTTGGAGATTGTCAGAGTGGGGATGACGGTCCTCGGAGGCATAAGTTTGGACTTTGGAGTACAGGGGTCTTGGAGGTAAAGGTTGGAACTAGTTATAAGGTCGGGGGTAGTCATAAGGTCGGAACTGGGCATAAGGATGGAATTTGGAACATGTGACATGTAGTGTCACGGTGGAATGTGTTGCCAATGTGTGATTGTTTATCCTCTTTTGTTGAGCATGTCGAGGGGTATTCTACTTTGTGATCAGTAGAATACACCTCGAGTTGTACTTGTTATTGTTGTTGTCTTTGTCGTGATGTTACTGCTTTATGATCAGTATGTTACATCTTGAGCGGTGTTGAGTTGTTCTGTTGTTGTTCTTGTCTTGATGTTGTCTTGAGATGTTGATTCCCTTGTTCTTTTGAGAGTGAAATAGAGTGTTTGCAGTTGACTTCTCTCTTTACGGTTTTGAACTGATATATACTGTATTCCATTTTGAAAATGATTTTGTATTAAACTATCTATATATGCTATTGAACGCGTATTGATGGGTTACCAGCAATATTCGCTGACCGGGCGTCGTCCCCTTTCTTTATGTGCTTTACCGGTCCTGAGTAGATGGCGAGAGTGTTAGTCATGGATAGTTTAGATCCCCTGAACAGTATAGTTAGTGTTTTGGCCTGTGTGCCACAGATGTTGAACATACTAGACGGATGGTTTTAGACTTGGCCTGTGCGTTCACGTTGGGGTGAACGTGGCATAACACTCCTTGGTTTTCCCTGTTTTATAATAGACTTCCGCTGTGTTTATGTTTTATGTTATATGTTGGTTAGTTTGCCTTGCATATTTAAGCTTTAAATTGGCATGAAAATCAGGGGTGTTGCACAAATAATAAACATATAAGGGGATAAAGGGTCCCCTTGCCTCAAACCTCGCGTGGGCATGACTTGTTCATTGCGATTGCCATTTATCAAGATCCTATAGGACACAGTAGTGACACATACCATAATTATTTCGACCCATCTATTATCAAATCCCAAAGCCAGTAACATGCCACACTAAAAAGATCATTCCATTCGGTCATAGGTTTTAGCCATATCTGGCTTGAGGGCTCCCCATCTCACAACACTACATGATTTTCTGTTCAAAAAATGTCCCGCCTCAGCAGCTATTGTCTGTTATCAATCTATCAGGTATAAAGGCGCTCTGAGAGTCAGAAATAATATCATCCATCATCGGCTTCATGCTATTTGTTATCATCTTGGCCATAACCCTATACACCACATTACTTAGGGCTATAGGTCTTAGATCAAATACTAGCTCAGGAGTATTCTTTTTGGGAATGAGAACGATATCAGTATCGTTCAAATTAGGAGGCAAAGTACGGGATTCCAAGCATCCTATTACAAAATTCGAAACATCCCCCCTACCCCATCCCAAAAATGCTGATAAAAACCCGGATTCATTCCATCCAGGTTTGGAGCCTTATCGGGAAACATTGAAAAAAGAGCATCTTTGACCTCCTCCAATACAAAAGGGCGAAGCAAAGACTCATTATGAGCTTGTGTAACCCGTGGAATAATGGTTTCAAAAAAGTCTTCGCGACCCTCTTGTATGCTAGAGTGGAATATCATGTTAAAGTAATCCAGGATAACATTTGTCATGGCATTTCCTTCCCCCCAATCCTTAGCATCATTCATTAATGTAGAAAGAGAGTTCTTTTTCTTGTGATGAGAAGCATACCTGTGGAAAAATCTCGTGTTGGTGTCAGCGTCCTTGAGCCAGTGTTGCTTGGCTAACTGCTTCCAGTATGCATCCTCCTGTGTTTCAAGGCGGCTCAGGCGTTCTTCCAGACGTTGGAATTCGGCCAAAGAAGATGGATCAGAACACCCTCTCAACTCCAACTGCTCCTTCCTTAAACTCATAATCTTCTCCCCAAACTTATGAAAACGATCTCCCCCCCCCCCCCACTGGGCTAGACGACCACCACAGTAGCCAATACAATCTTGCAACCCCATACCCCTTCCTTCATCCCAAGACTTCTCCACCACTCCCCTACACCCCTCATCATGTAGTCAAGCCATCTCAAACCGGAAGTCCCTTCTCCCACTCCTACCTTGCCCAAGACCACGAATACCCAGGAATAGTGCCGAATGGTCA